TGCATACCACCAGTACAGTGGTACTGAATGCATATTCATCGTGTATCCGACGGCAGCGAACAAGTTGGGGACAAATCCGGGTGTCGTGTTCAAGGCTCGTGTACCATCCATGTTGGACCATCAGACGGGAGTTGACTGGGTGCAAGTTGCACCGTCGGAGTCGCCACAGTCGGCCCCTCTTGGAGCCGACACACAATTGAATTTGCTAGCTCAAGCCCACCCGACACCATGAAAGCCATCTTCGCCCTCCTCGTCGCCGCGGTCGCCACGTCGTCCACCCTTGCCGTGTGCAGCAAAACTCAGATCCGCAAGTGGATTAAGTCGTGCGACCACCTGTCCACCGACCAACAAAAGTGCGACAGCCGCACCTGCCACCGCGCGTTGCACTGGCTGACGGACCCTGAGACCCGCGACTGCTACGTGTCCGTGGGCTTGGGCCCAGTCTCCGACCTCAACAAGTACATCACGCTGGACGAATTCTGCCACGCCTCGGACGTCCATGCTTTGAGGCTGGAGTTGGCCGCGTTCGACGCACCTGTCAACGGGACTACCGACTAGAGTCACGTGTAGTTTCATTTTGCTCTATCGTAATAAAGCGAGTTACATGTACAATTTACGTGTCTTGGGCAGTTTCATATAGCTGAGAAAGTGTACCTGGCTGGGGTGTAGGCCGTGTAGATGGCGAAAGCCTGTCATTATTTGATGAATACTACGTAGTACATGGCTACAAGCATGAGTAGTTTGGCGAGGGTCGAGGCGCACAAGTGGATCGCTCTCAAGTATCTGCATGATGTTTGTGGCGTATAATGTGTTTGCACTGATGGCAGTTGATGTCTACTGGTACAGTAGGTGTGATTTGGTCAGGTACGTTTGGTGGTAGGATCTTGGCGGCTGCCATCTCTCAGATACAGATACTGTACAATATAGCCAGATCAAACTGTGATGGTTAATCGTCAGTCATTTCTGATTGCAAATGCCTTATGCACAAGCGTAATCTTCACATTGCCATTTCTGCTGACAAATGTCTTATGTATATGCGTAATCTTCACTTTGGAGCATAACTATGTGTGGCTGCGTTGGGTAACAACGCGACAAAGTATCCAGAGAGCACGCTGTCATGATTCAATAAGAACGGAGACTCAATGACTGATGTCGGGACAAAGGCTCGTTATGACTCGATGTACTTGCTACCTTCGTTTCGAATGCGGTGAAGGCCTACACCACCGACCTCAGATGACGCATACCAGTAAAGTGGTACTGAATGCATATCCATCATATATCCGACGGCAGCGAACAAGTTGGGGACAAATCCGGGTGTCGTGTTCAAGGCTCGTGTACCATCCATGTTGGACCATCAGACGGGAGTTGACTGGGTGCAAGTTGCACCGTCGGAGTCGCCACAGTCGGCCCCTCTTGGAGCCGACACACAATTGAATTTGCTAGCTCAAGCCCACCCGACACCATGAAAGCCATCTTCGCCCTCCTCGTCGCCGCGGTCGCCACGTCGTCCACCCTTGCCGTGTGCAGCAAAACTCAGATCCGCAAGTGGATTAAGTCGTGCGACCACCTGTCCACCGACCAACAAAAGTGCGACAGCCGCACCTGCCACCGCGCGTTGCACTGGCTGACGGACCCTGAGACCCGCGACTGCTACGTGTCCGTGGGCTTGGGCCCAGTCTCCGACCTCAACAAGTACATCACGCTGGACGAATTCTGCCACGCCTCGGACGTCCATGCTTTGAGGCTGGAGTTGGCCGCGTTCGACGCACCTGTCAACGGGACTACCGACTAGAGTCACGTGTAGTTTCATTTTGCTCTATCGTAATAAAGCGAGTTACATGTACAATTTACGTGTCTTGGGCGGCGTCACGTAGATGAGGACGTGCATGGAGCTGCGGAGGTGTCATTATTTGTAGAATACAGAGCCTACAAGCATCAGCAGTTTGGCAATGGTCCCCATGAATTATATTTTCGTTGTTGTAACGTGGCCGAGTACATTGGCAATTTAGTGTTAGAAAATGGACTCTGATCGGAACAACCAAATGGGGGAGTGCCGACTCCCTGCAAACCACACACTTGATTGACTTGAGTTAGATTCCGGCAGTTGGCTGGAACAGGTGTTCAGTTTTCTACGTCCTAGTACTACTAGTAGTACTACTACCTTTTCGTGTCGGTTCGCCAAGGGTCGGCACCCGGTGGCCTCGGTTGAGGAGTACCTGTGTCATGGCGGGACTTGGGTTAAGTCGCCCCCCACAA